GGGGGGGGGCAGTCGCTCTGACAGAAACGAAAAGCAACTTTTGCTTGCGCAGGCATAACTTATGAATGGACTACACTGCTACGGGGGTATTGTTGCGTTCTGGACTGCCTCGGATATCCTGCAATCTGGAACTGCCGAGAAGTTCTACATGGAAATGGAAACCGACATGACCTGAGGATTGAATGGTCGAGAATCAGACAAATGCAAAATAAAGAGGAGGCGGAAGCGGAGAAGGGAAAAGCAGATTAACCAAGGACACTGAACATCCAAACATGGACGGTAAGCCAAGGCTGATTGGACAACAACTGCAAAAATCCAAAGGCAGCAAACAAACATCTCCCCCAACACAGCAACACATGTGCTCCAACCGCCTCAGATTAAAACACGATTTCTCCTCGTGGTTTTACAGCGTCATGGTGTGTCCGTCTATCGGCTTGCTTTTGATGGAACCCCCGCCTGCTGTGTTGCGACCCTGGCTTGCGATGGACGTGCGCGTGCTCTTGATGAAAGAGAGCCGTCGCTGCTTATGATAAGCTCGAGCTCGCTTGTCTACACTACCGCATTGCACCTCACATTTCCTACCACGCTCACGCGGAACAGAGTAATTCACAGTGTGAGTCTCATCATATATCAGCTGTGACCCCGCAATGACCCTCGGTGAGCTCTTCGAGACATTGGGGCAAGGGTTGACAGAGAAGGTTGCTGAGCCAAACCACGAAACGGAGCGTCTACACGGAATGGTAATATACGGTAAAGATATATCAATCCACACCCAAGGTTGTTTTTATTTTGATCTTTTACCGAGCACTCGGTTTTTTCCCCGTGCGGATATATTAAGTAAGCATAAAATGCGGAGTACCGCAAAGATTCGGGGGATAGCTTTTTAGGTTCCAAGGAAATCAGGCATGGTCTGCAAGCATACTGCAATATTATATGCCCACCAAATTTCTACGCAAGACGGTGATTCTGATTGTCCCCACCCTCCAGCACCCTCGAGAGAATAGGTGGAAAAAGGCATTGTATCAGAGAAATCGAATTTACAGTACTTTGGGTTGGCAACACATCTCCCCCACTCTTTTTATAAGACATAAAAAGCACATATTCGTGCAGTGTACTTACAGATTATGCCTGATTTCCTGGGAACCTAAAAAGCTATCCCCCGAATCTTTGCGGTATCACTCGAGCTGAGCAATGATCAACACAGGCAGATTCACGGTGCGCATGGCGCTTCCGAACATGCGATAATCACGACACTTTTCTTCCTTGAACCCCGCCAACAAGCCAGCCGCCCGCTCGGTGTGCGGGAGATGGAAAAAGGGAAGGGAAACAACCCGCGGGTTCGGTTGAGGCTTTGACCTTGTCAGTGAGTGAACAAAATAATTTACCGGAACGATGTCCTTGGGCCCTTCACCCAGTTGCTCGTTACCAGTTGCTTGGGCTTTCCGAACACCCGTCTTCGGATTTCTCAAATCTTGTCATCCTCCGACGGGACTCAAGTTCTTTTAGCCGTCCAAACACACAGTTCTCTTGCATAAAGTTCGCATCTCTGATTTCTGAAGTCCAAAGGGCGGCATTCACCTTTTCGCACGATCAGCCCTTGATGCGGTATCTTTGTGAGAAGGAAGAGCTCGTCGACTGCCACCTGATAATACACTCATATGCCAAACGGAATCACATATTCTGAACCGGGTCTTTCAACAAACCTCAGGATGCACATGCCCATGATTCCCTGACTCCAGTCATTGGTGGACATGCTGCTAATGCACCACATTTCCCCTTCCTGCTTCCCTGGCCCATGTTCCCTGACAGCATGTATGCTAAGGTAGTGTACGTACAGGTGTAGGACCCGTAAAGATGATGTAGACCGAAACAGATGGAGACGAGCGGCGGAGAATCCAGTCCAGTCCATCGCGGCCGGAAAGCAGAACTTCCATTGCATGATGGGACGGGACGGGAGCGAGTGCAAGTGTAGAATACTGCACGCTATTATATACGCTAGGTACAGCAATGCAAAAAATCGACCACGCTGCTCTCCACTCCGAGCAACAAGCACATCTCTCTCATTCATCCCTCTCCACGCCCGCCCGCCCGCCCGCCTGCGGACCCGCCGGCCCCGACCACCGCCGTTCGTTCATTCGGTTCGGGTGGCACGGATGGGAAAGGGGTTGCTGGGTGGAGTCGAGTTCATCGTTCGGGAGGGGATCGGCTGTACCCGTCCCTGCCGGTCCGCTCTTGTGGTTCCGCTCTTTCTTTTCTTCCAGTTCGGGCTTGGACACACTGTGGAGGTCTCCTTTTATCCTTCGAGTCTTGCTGATGATCTCGTCTCCATCATGACTAATTACATGATTGATTGTCGTTCTTACTAAGCTGCATCGCGATTGTCAATGTCAAACGGACATGAGGCTACGAGGCGCGAGGCGGGCCGTCGCTCGTTGGTGACGAAGGCTCGTCGACGATTCTCGTGCTTGGGCAGACGACTTTCGGACACCCAAGACGGAATGAGGCAGGCAGGCTTGGTGAAAACCATCATATCATATGTACCCGGGATGTGCCATGGAAAGCTTTACTTCTGGTGTTGATCAGGTGTTCGATATCATCAGCACTGGCGCCCGCGAATGGCTTGTTGACCTCGTCATTCTCAAGTCCCGTGCATGTTCGTTCTGTTCATCTGTGGTCACTGCAGTGCACTTTGACACAGATTGGTCACTGAGGTCATCGTGACCTACATCATCATCCGTGCTCCCAGGTGTTTCTGCTTTCTGACCAGGGCCTCCTTTGAAAACCAAACTACGGGAAATACCAAAGCTTCACATTTGTCAACCTCATGGATCTCGCTGTTTCGCAAGCAATCTTTGGTGTATGAATTGATGTGCAGTTCAAGGCGTCCTGACAGCAAGTCTAGGGAGTGTCTAACATCCGCAGTGGCGTTCTTGGATAGAAGTTTTTCTTTGAAGGCGACTTTCAGTGGAGCCGCCGCAATTAGATTGCCGTTGGACTTCATGCGATAGGAAGTGACGGAGTTGAAGGGAATGGATGGACACTGGCTTGTACAAGATATTGATGCCAAATGTGCAACTCATGCCATGTGGTATAACTCGTTTCCTGTGCGGCACTATAAGCTTACTGCTGATGCACTGTAATCCGAGGCTAAGTAGGTGTGTAGGAGTCATGGACGCTTGCTAGGTAGGTATTACACCTCTGTCGGCATATAATTCGTTAGCGTGGTACCGCCACTCTACAATATTCAGGGCATTGGAGGTGAGCAAAGTGGACATCTTTTGTAAGGAGAATTAAGTTATTGCCACTACCTCAGTTCACCGCGCTAACGTTTTAAATG